TAGTTTCCCAGCAAGAGCGAAGAACCTAAAATGCCAAAGGCAAAAACTGAGGAAGGACATACTTTTGTATTTTAAAACAAAATCCGAAGGCCACTGGGCTTTCATAAAGGAAGTTAACTGAAGGAGTAATAATCCTAAACCGAATTCACTTAACATTTTAAAATTTACTAAGTGCAAGCGCTCACAAAGTCTTACCCGTAAAGTAAGCACGGTGTTGAATGCATGGTTTCTTATGGTATTTACGTTTCAAGTTGTTTTTTTAAAACAACATTACAAAATTTGTAATAAACTGTGATTCAGTTATTATCTCCCTGGTGTTTACTCATGATCCACTTGTTCTCTTTACGTGTAGTCTGCAGCAATGAATGAAAAGGAGGTTGTCTTTAATGATTCTGCCTGTGCAGAAGAGAACACGTATTCATATAGAAATTTTAGAAATTAAATCTATTGTGAAGTCAATTATTTTCATCTGTGTAGAAGCAGCACTGTCACATCCTTCATTACCTTGCCCTGGGAAGGGCTATACTTCAACTTTGAAGTATGGGAGGTTACTTCCATCCAGTTGATGGAAGGACACTCACTACATTCCTGAAGCAGAAAATCAGCCTAGTGGGAATATGCAGGTTTCTCTCGTGTGTGTGCGCAAACACATACACACTTGAAGAACTGAATCTGAATGTAAGAATAATTCTATCCGTTCAGGCTGGGAGCTTCCCAGTATGGGTGACAAATCCAGTGAGAATTTTAGTCACACAATATGAATTCTCCTTTAAACACAATAAGTAGTCAGCCTGGATTAAAAAGAATTTTGTTTTATTTGGACAAAGGCACACAGTCTTTATTGTTAGATTAAACATGTATCTTTTACCTGCAATAGTAAGAATCTCAACATCATTTTTAATCTGATACCACAAATAATATCACAACTAGTCAATGTTCAAAACTAAAATGGATATTCAGTTATTTATAGCTTAATGACGCTTCAACTTTTTAAATGCATAAAATGGATATTTTAAAAAAATGACTCCACATTATGATTATGAGACTATCTTCAGAGGAAAACTCAACTATTACAATTTTCCCAGAACAGAAAAATCCCAACTAGCCCTGAACAAGAAAAGTTACACCAGAAATCCAGAAATAAAAGGAAAAGAATTAAATTAACAAGGTAATGTACATCTGCTACAGTACAACGAGAAATGGCAGATGGAGATTTGCTACAGTAAGTCAACATACTTAGAAGATCATGAATGCTACTAAAATACACATCAACGTCCTTTTTGTCCTGGATATATTTAAGTAGTCTTAAAGAAATGCTTAATAACATAAGTAGGAACGCTTCTAGAAATGCTGGTGTCAATCCCTTTTGCAGGTATTGACACCAGAGTGACTGGCATGGAACAGATCTGTAGTGAACTTCTATACCAAACTGAATTACAAGATCCACAATTAATTTGTTTCATTTTTAACAAAGATTTTAAGTATAACCCTTAGATCCTTAGTCTCAGCAGCTACAGGTAACAGCGTATTTTTTTTTATTGTACTAAGTTTTTAAGTCATGGCTTGCAATGGTAATTTCTCCAACTAAAGTAGTTGTTTCTTATTAAAAATGTCAGATGTTTATGATCATTAATACTGATGCAAATGGACCGACTCAACTGACATCTTCATAAAGGGTCTGAGCCCAAGAAATACTGACACTCAGTCATATGTTAATGGTATACATAGTCATTACTCAGGTATTTGTTTCCTAATAATTACCTTTCCTCTTGGCTACTAATACTGATTTGTTTCAGTGCAAGCTGGAAACAGCCCCAAAGGACTTACAGAAAACCATGAAACAGCTGGAGTCAGTGTAACTCCACTCGCCTAGCAAAATGTTAAGAAAGTAATTTGATCTCCAGTATTCCTTTTGGTCTCTCTTATGGTAGCAAGTTTCCAAGCTGTAATGGCACCAGACAAGTTGAAAAGAGCTTTGGTGTAGGTTAATCAGTTGTTTCCAACCTACTAAAACCCCTGTAATCTTTTGGAGTGTTTATGCCAATCACAAATTTTTCCACAGTTAATTCTCAGTACAGCTGAATTTAAAAAAAAAAAAAAAAAATCATTAGGTTATACTTCCTACTTTGGAAGTCATTCATTTATTTCTTGTTACCCTCTTTTCTCACTCCACCTTTCAAATTCAGAGCCAATCTAACACAGAAATAATTAATTTTTGAATGTGTACATACAGATCTGGTAATTAACCAAGAAAGGATTTACTTTAAAGACAGAAAAAACACTCATTTGCAAATACAGGCTGTACTATTTCAGTAAATATATACATCGAGTAACACTGAAATTAAACATGGCCCTTTAATTATTTAAAAAATGAAAAATGAGCCATTTTGAATTTCCTTGTAAAAATCACCAACATTTAGATATGGTTGAACTTCTTTAGGGAATATATCCCACAAACACTAGTGCATATTATCAATGATAAAAATATTTCTGCACAATTTTAACCTTCAGCTCTGGATGTGGTGTATGTTTTCTATACAACAGTATGTGACCATAACAGGAGCATCATTTTGCACTGTCAAATAGGAATTATGTGCTGTTCGCTATAAAGTATCTTGAAAAAAAACCCTGTCTTATTTGCTTTACTCAATGGGAGTACTTTTCTGTTTAGATTTCCTAGATGACCCAAGTTACCCAGAAACACAGATGCTAGATGTAAGCAGTTTGGTATGAATTTTAAGACATGGAAGTTGGGGAATCTCCAAGAGACTTACCCATACTGTTAATATTGCATACTAACACCCCGCTCGCACCCTAGTAAATTATTTTAGCCTAGGTATGGTAATACCCATACTCATTCAGAAATCGTATAGCCTTCCCAATTGAGGTGGGTTCCCACTTACAGGAGTCTCTCTGCTTTTGAATCACACAATCGAGAACAATCGAGGTATTGGACGGGCAAGGACACAGACGTGGGTTAGTGAATTCCTGGTAAGGGAGCTAATTTAACTCCTTCAAATCACCTAGGTTAAAAACTTATTCTATGTTTGAGCTCGACTATAAGGGTACCCTACTGAAATTAAAAGACAATGGCAAGTAATGACTAGACAATTATCAACATTCTAGGTAATACACAATTTTTCCTACAATCTACTAAATTTCTCCCAAGAGTCTGATAATGAATTGTTATCGATGTAGTTTCTTCCAAGAAGCCACCTAAATCTTCCAAACTGTCAGCAGAAATGTTACGCTTCAAGATACAATTTGTGGGAACTTTTAAAACCGTGAAGAGCTTTACATTAGTACAATAATACACACCAACAATAATGTCTGAGGTACTTTATCTGTGAGTTCCCAACAGTTCCTCTGTTCACACATTCTGCCTGAAGCATTACTCGTTTCAAATAACTGGAAACTTCCCTTGCCAGTACTTCTTCAAGGTAGGGTATCAGATATACTTCTGCCAAATATTCCTGTCAGCTGGACGTCCAAGTTAAAAAAAAATATTCTAATTTTGGCATTACTGCTGCCATGTTTTAGTCAATACACATGCAAACCAAGAAGTGATGTGAAGACAAGTGATTCTTGTTTATGTTCTTTGTTGCTATTGTTCTTTGGTTTAAAACGTATGTGAAATACAGTTTATGAAATATCTCATTTACAACTTTGTATTAATATCTGTGTGTTCCGCATTACCTCCTTAATGATGCTGCAATATATTTGACATCCCATGCCATAAATCGATATGTATATTTCCTATCTAGTACACAAAGAAGGAAATCATGTTCTTCCAGACAAAGTTTCATATTTATTCAGAAGGCATACATCTCAACTGATTTTTTTATTACTTTAAATTTTTAATTTAAAACTGATAAATCAAGGGACTTCTGTTTGAATAATATTAAAAGCAACATTCATTGGTGTATATCTTAGTTCAGAAGGCCTATACAAACCCCCCATACCACTTAAAAGCCCACGTCAAGGTTTTAAATGGCATACCATGGGTTCTCATCCACTGTGAAGGAAAGCATCAAGACATCCTGGAATATCAGTGTCTTGAAAAATACTTTAAAGCTTTGAAAAGTTCCTCCTCATTAGAATATACAAATAACCACCTATCCTATATCCAAGACAATCCAAGGCGGAACAATAATACCTGGACTTGAAATTTAAGAAACTCTTACAGTCATTAAATACACATTATGAAAACAACTGGCAAATCTGAAAAGGCGATCTTTATTATATATTAGTTGCCTTTAGGTTTTAAGGTAACAAAAACTATATGCATGCAACTTTCTGACACCAAACTTCAAAATTGTCAAGAAAAAGCCTGAACTCTTTGAAACATTTCCATTTTTAGTGTCCTGACTCAAATGACATATAGATTTATTCTGATCAGGAATAAAAAATGTGCTGTATTAAGATGAAATACAGTACATCAAATTTCAGCCTGACACGAATTTTAAGAGAATTGTTGACTGAGGTCTGTGGTTGATGCCAAATGAAAACTTTGTCTATGATCATGTTATAGAATAATCAGTATGCAGTCACAACTGGATTGTGACATCTAAACAGGCACTTTTAAAACACTTTGTTAGTTTAAAATGAAGGATAAAAGGGTTTTTTAAACCATTTGATGTTTCAAAAGGACATGAATCTCTTGTATGCCTCTCTACTTAGTTACGTACAAATATTTTCATCCAGCTTAAAAAATGAAAACACCAAAACCCTCATATTGGTTATGATCACTACAAATTTTAGGATGATGACTTTAAGTAGAAGAGTATTGCAAAAGTGTCTTTGCTAAAATGAAAGCTCCAGGCTTTGTTTGAATTCTCAACACAGCAAACAAACTTACTGACAGCAAACTTGCATTTCAGCTTTAAAATAAACTGCAGTGCACAACTTCAATATGATTCTAAGAACTCATTAATGCTGATACCACAGGTGATTTTTATTGCTTTTTGGTTTTGTTGGATTTTGTTTGTGGCTTTTTTAATAAAACCTCCCCCTCCTGCCAGAATACTGTTATACAGAAAAAAAAATTGCTACTCTACTATTGTCAGTCTTTCAGATACAGTAAAAAACCCTCAACATACAAGAGTTTTAGAGCAAGTAATCAATCTGCAAAATGTTACACATCAGTAATAAGGCATCCACTTTACAGCTGTTTAAACAAAAAAAGAAATATTTCCCAAAATATATATTTTGGATCTGTGTAAACAAAGCTTATATGTATTGCTTCCATTCATTTCAAAAATATACACCCACATGGACTGAAAGTGATCTTGGTGCTATGAGTTTTAAATTACTGTAATTTATCCAGATGTAATCTGAAGATACAAAACCCAAATATTTTTGAAAATCTTTTGAAATATGTCAAAAATTTAATTATTCTTATGTGAAAAGAAAGCTAAAAATATACCCCAAATTTGATGCCATTTCATTGAATGAAGAAGAAAGTACTATGAAAATAAACATTCATCTGGTTTCCTAACAATAAATACAAAGACAGTTATTATAACATACTGCAACACAGGAAGTATTACTATATTGACCTTAATGTTCAATCAGTAGTTTTTATATCTTTCCTCATTGAGGCTTGAATCTTCTACCTTGTCAGCTGTCCAACAACTTTTAAGAGGGTTTTATTTTCTTGCTTCAATTGTTCATTTTCATCTTCTATATCATCTAGGTCCTGTGAAAGGAAAAAGAAAAATAAACATTTCTCAGGACATAAATACAAACTCTAGTAGCAGAAGGAATTTAGCATCTTAGCTCTGAAATTAAGAAGTTGGGGTTGGGAAGAATTAGTGTCACAGTAGCTACCCTTAAATCTATTAAACTGGCCTTTTCCCAAGTGTTATTGTAATTACAAAACATTAATATTACATTCCCATGTACAAGCACCTTTAAATGGAAGCACATAATCAAAACTAAAGCTACAGCGGGAATTAACACATCAAGAAAGAAAATAGGATGGGTGTGATTATTTTATTGGCATATACAGAGTGCATTAGTTACTCAGCTATTGCTTCTGCTCCCCAGACTGTGCCTGTCTGCAACTATCCCGCTCACATATACACATCATTATCACTGCAAGATGACCTGCTTTGTGTTTTAAATTGTTTCAAAAATTTCATGAAGAGTACTGTCTGCTCATTTTTTTTTCATTTTCCATGAAAAAAATTAAAAGGCATTTTGTAACTTATGTCCAAACTGATACTAAAAGAACAGACAGCATATACAGTAATAATGGGTGCTTAAAATAGATTGCTTCCACCCCAAATGTCCATCCCTGTTGCACCAATTACCCTATTTACCCAGTTCCCATTCCATTTCTTCACTTCCTATCAAGTCTTCAAGTCTTTAAAGGGGAAACCAGTGAAACCGACTGTTTAATGTAAGCATTACTCTGGTAAAAACAATTTTCCTGTACAAGTAAAAAAGACTTGGAAGAAACAGAATGAGAATGAAAAAATGAAGAAACAGAAGAGTGGCCTCAAGGACAGCAATTTAATGAGGTGAATGAAAGGCAGGCAAAGGAGGAAGAACCAGGATTCTCATCAGAGATCTCAGATGCCTTTTAACTGAAGTCTACAAAACCCTACCGTTGCCATCACAGATTAAACATAAAACAATAGTAAAGATTTTCTCTCTTTTGTTCCCTTAAGTTGTTAAGCAGTGTTTGACATTTGGAGCCTATTTTCTTGGTTTTTTTTAGCTGGGTCATTCCAGAAGTGTTGTTGTTTTAATGGGTATCATGATTTTTAAAAGCCTCTTCAGTTTGCCAAGCGAAAATCCATACTGTAATACCTTCGCAATTGCTTTATTGCTTTGGGTAATGTGGAATCAAGACATCGCTAGCAGAAATTCCTCTTTGCCTCACAGAAGTAATGCTGCATCACAGTACGACTGACTTCCAGGGAAAAGCATTTGACCACTCTGACATAACAGATACAAGTGACTTAAACATGAAAACACAGAAAGTTCGGATGGATAGCTACTTTAAAAACAGTTTACTACGCAATTGTAAGAAACACTTTGTTTTCTCTCTTGTGCAGTTCAGATCAAGAATCGGGTGGAAGGGACGACTCTTTTTCAATAAAATGACGGGTTTTTAGTTTCGTATACATACATAATACTGTATTTGAACTTGTTAACCTAGCCATCAGATGCTTCAATTAAAGCTCACCCAAAAACCTTCTTTTTAAAGTACCTGTAATTTACTCAAAATACAATAGTAAAAGTTTGTGAAATGTTTATGCTGCAAAAATAACATTCCAAAGATTACTACAAGTAAGAATTTCTTGAATATGAGCCAGGAAAAATAACGATTGCAGTTTAAATATCTACAGAACCAGTGGACCAAGAGCTCCAGGTGTGGTTTTTGCCACTCTGTAATTTAAAGTTTCTTACTGAAAATCACAACACTAACTTATGCTTATTAGTAAAAAAGATGCAATAGCAGGAAAGTTTGGAGTTCACATACCAAAGGAACCAATAACTACACAACTGACACTAATTGGATTATAAATCCTCACTGACCGACTCTCTCCAAACACCCATTGAACTACAATGACATCTTAGTGAGGTCAGAGATGACCAAGTGTAAACTAGTCAACAGTTGAACTTAGCCTACAAATATTTAAATGCCTTGAGATGCCTTTCCCTTCAGACATTTGAGGTTTTTATGAAGCAATTACCCCTTTCTTACAAAAAATGTGGCAGACATACTTTTAGTGGCTAATGTACTGGAGTGAAAGAATGCCATTTATGGCAGAAAACCTTTTCTGTTTCTCTATATAAATGTAGCTCATGTTCTTTTAAGTATATTTGTGACGTACTGACTGATCTCAGTAAAAATATATTGTTACATTAAATAAACATATTTACTTAAAATAAGAAAAAGTGCTCCAAGAAGTTTTTAGGATTCTTGGAAAAACAGTTTTTCAAGTGTAACACAAGATCTTTGCCAACCAAAGACGCATCCATTGTTATGAACTGACTGCATCTTCTAGAAAGAGCATTTCTTTAAACATGAGGACAGAGCAGTCAGAAAGCTATGCAATAAAATGGATTTTACGAAGTTATTTAGGCTCTTTGATGTGAAATTCTTTCCATATTCGTGCAACTTAACATGCAATAACTGCATATTTTGATGAATAGAAAAGATGAAGAAATACCATGAATGCATAGGGTGACAAATTTGGAGACCCCTATTTAGGTTGCCTACCAGCAAAACTTTTTAAAAAGATGTCCACATAAGCTCAATAAGTAAAGTTTAGTCCTCGGGACATCCTTTTATCTGAGCAGAAGGCTGAAGATCGCAATTGTTCTTCCATGCAAAGCATCCAATCCTGATGCTAAGCCTATAGAGTAACGTTCCATGAAGAACAGATGGATGTCTAAGTGCTGGCTCTCATTATGTCAGTTATGATAATAAACCTTAGGCAAATATAACTGCCCTATTAACTTCCACAACCTTTTATCATAGCAATGATGCAGTATTTCTGTAGCTTTTCTTAATATTCTAAACCTTTCCTCTTTCTAAATCCACATGGATAGCCAATATAGAAGCAATCACAAATCCAAGAGGTATTTAAAAAGAAAGTAAAACTGTATCTGTTTTAATGGAAGTATCACTTGAGACATGGGTTCAAACCTTTGTAAGACGACAAATTATTATGCTGGTCATAAAGTCAAAAGGCTGCTATTTCATCATTAAGAAAAGCCCAAGGGATGCAAACATAAATAACTTGCACTGCAATTAAGCTGATGGACAATGTTATAGCTATGATAAATGCTGACCTGATGGAAAAAAAAACCCATTCCCTTCTGCATTTAAGAGAAGCTACCTAGGGAGCACCAGTAAGATGGCTTCATAGATCTCATGGAAAAGTAAAATTTTAGTCACTGTGTAATAAAGAGGTTTTTGAAAGGACTATATTCTGTTTTATGTTTTCTTTCCACACAACAAGCAGAAATTTCCATCACGCTTACACAGGCAAGGCACGTGCAGTGCCTGATTTTACCTCAAATGTTCAAAGATGGTTTCTAGTCAGAAACGTGATGGATTTTAATTTAGGACATCATGCTTCAAATATAGCAGAAAAAAATAACACTGTTTCTGGAACAGCAAACCTTGCAAACAGCCACAGTCCTACAACACAAGCTTTCAGTGATTTAAGTTCTTTTGATTTGTTCCTTCTGGCCTCTGAGTCAGGAAGTCAGGTCTGACCAGCAGTATTAAGTAGCTTTGCCATCCATTATGTAGAAGGAATGAACACTTGCCTTGACTGTAATAAGGTCATCGCTTAGATGTGACAGATTCTTTGCCGAATCAAAGAATGGCATAGAGACCAATTCCTCAGTTAAAACAGAAGTCTCTCCAAAACAGACAATACTTCATGTATCCTACAGATTAACTTTCTTTATAAAAAACCAAAAGATATCCGTTTCAGAATAATCTCATCTCCTTTTGTTCTCTAGATTAGTTTGCAAACTTGTGAATGCTGTCCTCCTTTGTTATAAATGAATAGCGCAAAATAAAAGTTTGCCACTGTGCGCATAGAGTCATTGCCTCCCTTCACTGACCAAAGCCAGTTCTGAATTTTTTTTTCTGAATTTTTATGGAATCGTCTGCACTGGCCTAGTAGAGGCATATTTTCCTAGTACATCCAGGCTCTGCACCTCAGCCAGGAAGTACAAGATGAGGTCACTAATCCCACTCTATGAAAGAGTTCCAGTCTGCCCTTAAAACTGAAACTTGTTGAAATTGGGATCTTCTATCAACTTCAAAACTCCTGTCCCATTCCCAAGCATGTCTCACTCTTCTACCCCTCTTTTCCTGCCTACACACCTTGCCTGAGTGATGGCAGCCCAAGTCTCCTCCCGCTGTCTTGTTCTGCCTTTACTTGGGAATCAACAACAAAGAGTATGAGAATATGTGTCAGAATATAAAGCATTAACTCCCAAATCTTTCTGAGATCACCAAAATAATTATTGGTAATTAAAAGCTGACTAAAACGAAATTAAATTCACAATTACTTTGTCAAACAAAAGTACTGGGTAACAATTTATTGAGAAAACTATCAAAACCCCAACTTAATTACTTCCTGGTGTGCTATGTACTGAATTTGGAAAGGAGAGGCAGTAAAGAACACTTTCTTTCACAACCTTGTTCTATGAACACTTACAGCAACAAGAAATTCAGGTACTCCAATAACACCCTTATGGAAGTTAGTCACGACAAACAGAAGTCACCTGGAAAAAATATAACTTACTGACATGCCTCTTGAAAAGTTACACAAATACAAAAAAGATCCCCACACTTAATTCTCTTCTGACCTTGCCCAGTGGATGCAGGTGCTTGAAGAAGAGCACAGAGAATGCAGAGAATTTTATTCCCTCTATATAGCACTCTATAAGAAAATATGTGCTTACTCTGTTTAATAAATCAATTTCTTCCTTCAGCTTTCCAATTAGTTCCTCTTTGTCCTGTGATATCTTCATTAATCTTGCATTTTCTTGTCTCTCCTTTGCAAGTTCCTAAAACCAGAACATGCAATTAATTTTGAAATGCAATTTTTGGTTTCTAGAAACAGTTTTAAGTTATTACCATTTAAAACAAACAAAGAAGAAAAACTCACATACACATGTAATTCTTCTTCCACAGCAAGTCAAACCCACGTCTTCAAGCCTTTACATTTCGAGGAACTAAAGAATCACATCTACGAAAATATTTTACCCACAGCAAACCTGTGTGATATCTCTGATTCCAGAGATAATGCTTTAATTGATATTTAACTTAAGCACGAACCCAAAATTGGATGGGGGTCCAAAACTGATGTAAGTAAATGTAAAGTATCAGCTTCCAAATTTGTTATATTGGGAGGGTTAGTCTTTTTTTTTTGGGGGGGGGGAAGGGGGTGCAGGGGGTTTTAATACTACCATTAACAAGGAATGAAGACTCACTGTTAGAGCTGTGGGCCTGAATGTGAGTAATATGAGTAAAAATGAAAATGGCCATTAGGAATTCAGTAAATCATGGTTCAGGATACTGGAATAACGCCTTTAAATCTTCCCCTATTTTCTGTGTTACTGGCGGTAAATTATTTCAGAAGCAAGCTGATTTGGAAGGGAGGATTATGGTGTACTTCACTCAAATCGGGCTTCCCCAAGTCTTTAAAAAAAAATAAAATAGTAATTTCTACAAAATATGCTCTATTTTCACCTTTACCAGAAAAGATCTAGGCAAACCGTGTTTACCTAGTAACTTTCATCCATATGAATTCAAGAATATTTGGCAAGTTACCCACAAAAATCCACTTCAGAGGAAGACAGAGAAGCCTGATTACACAGATGACATTATTTAGCAAAATACTTTTTTAGGTGAAAAACTCTGCTTTAACATTATTACATTTTCCCAAAATTGTTTGTATGAAGAATGTCTGAAATAATAAAAACTTTGGCTTAAATATATATATTAAATTTTTAAAATTTTAAAAAACAACTGGATAGCAATTAAATTTTGTAATACTTCAGTACACCAAAAAATCCAGAACAAGTACATCAGAAACAGGCTTGCTAATTTGCTGAACAGGCAGTGAGCTTCTCCTTCCCCCAAGTTATTTGCCCTGTGTTGCTGTGTTATGGGGTACGTAAAAGAAACACGTGGAGCACTGCTGGCTCTCCAAGTGTATTATCTTTACCTCAACTATTTCTCACTTATGTACCAAATGAAAACTAAACATCTGTGATCAGAAAGCTCACATTCTTCTCAGTCAGTCTGACTCTTTATACATTTTTATAGACATAACTATCTGTACTTCAAACCCTTATCATCATTTCTATGTATTTTACTTGGAAATTTCCCCATGGAGTTTCAAAAGTACTTTATTTCAGATGTATGCCATGCAGATATTAATTGGTACTTACCCTTTCAAGTTCCTCAATCCTCTTTTCCAAAGTGTTACTTGGTACCGAACTGCCAGAAGAATTTGCATCCCTGCTGTATCTGCTGTAAGTTGTCCTGTCTGTTCGGGAATATCTATTTGGAGGATCGTCTTCCGGTGCATTGACTGTGCTACAAAGGCAAAGAGCAAAGCAGACACCTATTTATACACTTCACAAAATGGAAATCATGGAAGTAACAAGAAGTGCTTTCCAAAGCACTCAATAGGTCAGTCTAATAAACTGCTGAGAACTTATTTCACAGCTCTTGTCTTGCTGAGAACTCACTAATTTCACTGCCCCAGGGAGTCGAATACTTGGATAACGCAGCTCTCATCATGTAGGTAATCAACTTTAAACACAACTTATTTTTAAAGGTTTAAAAGTTTTATGAACTGTGGACATTAAAAACCAAGCTAAAAAACTTTACTTTAAAAAGTAAAGTACCACTATGGAGTTTAAACCGAGCATCTTTTTAAGTAGATGAAAACATAAAGGATGAAAAACAAGTAAATGTTCAAAATGTAAGAAGCTTATACATATCAACTGGTTTTTCAGGAACTATGGATATGGCCTGTAAGGAACTGGAAAGTAAACTGGCGTGAGAAAGTGACATAGCCCAACATATTACTTTTATGCCATTTCCAAATATTTTACTTCAGAACTTGGAAACACAGCAGTTTGTCATAGCTCAGTCAGTAGGCACTCACTCATTAAGTGGTGGTACGTTTTTTGTTTTAGATCATGTGTCTATTCCTTAAAAATCACTGCCATGGAAGCTTAACAGATAAGCACTGCAAATACACATAAGCTAGCTTCAAAAAAGCTTATGTGTTCTCCATTATGATTGCCACGTACAAAGCCAGTGCTAATTAAAAAATATATATGAGAAGTCAAGCATTTTCAAACTCACAAATCTAAGTGTTCTTCCCATAGCGATTTCATTCCTAACAGCAATGTTATTTACCTTCAATATAGAATCTAATGAATAATTAAGAGCAGCAGAACAGAGTGCCACGGGACCAGGCAGAGAGATACAGACCTTTCACTCCACAATCCACCAAACCCACGCTTCTTTGACTTTGAAAACATACAGCTAAACAGCCGAAGGCCAAAAAAAAAAAAAACCACAAAACACCCTTGTTCAGTCTTCACCAGGAGAACTCAGAGACACTCAAAAGCCATCTGGACGCGGTCCTGGGCAACCAGCTCTACGTGGCCCTGCCTGAGCAGGGTGGTTGGACAAGATGCCCTCCAGAGGTCCCTTCCAACCTCAACCAGCCTGTGACTCTGTGAAATCAAACAGCTGAAATACATACACAGTGGTTTTCTAGAGCACTTAGGAAAAGAATGAAAAGCACTATCGGTATCCCTACAACAATTCCTCTAAAACACAGTAGAGTATATGATTAATGTGTTCATTTAACGGTTTTGTGTTTCATAACTCTAGAAAACCCCTGCTGACAATGTGCAAATCTAGATGGATACAGTGCAAATCAAAAGCAGGAGTATCTGGCAAAAGGATGTCTTTTCATGGATATAAACATTGCTTTCCTCTAGTATGCGTGAAGTTTCCAAGGCACACTGACACAATTGTAAGGAATTTTGTAGCTTAATGTTATTACCATATTTAGCACTGTTTATTCTTCATCTAGAAGTTTTTTTTAAAAAAACATTTCTAGGACCGGATACGCATGTTGCAACACAACATAAGAGAAATATTTTAGCTTAACTCTATAAATTCTAGATTATTTAGCTTTCTGAAAGATGTGTTGTTTTGTGCTGTTAACGTCTCCAGGACAGACCACACAAAAAAGGCTCAATTTTTCATCACTCAAAAAGGAACGCTTTTGCAAATATACTGGAGTATCTCAACTCAGCTCCAGTGAGTGACATTGGCTGATGCCCCTACGGGAAAGTTAGAAGAAAGAATACCTAGATAGAAAGGGTTTCATTAATACTGAAAATTAATACATTTTCTATATTTTCCCTGAAACTCACACTCAAAGTTCCTCACCTATTCCACTGGGGAGCAGACCCTACTGAATACATTCCTCTTCAGTATGAGCAAGTATAAAGAACATATCACGAAGGCTTCTAGGAAATGGGATTTAAGAACACATTTAAGGAGGCATTAGTACATAACCTAACACAAGGAATGTGACAGTTCATTATTTTGGCTGTTATAACCAATGTCCATTCCACAGCAACAGCAAAAAGGTACCATCTAAGACACAGTAGACATATCTTTGGCAAAGAATGGAATTTTAGTCTTCAGATACAATGTCACTTTGTGAGCCTTAAACAAGTAAGAAAATTTATTGGAATAACAGTATCACTGAACTTGGTGTCTATGCTTTACTAAGAGAAAATACCTATCAACCAGCCCCAACAGAGACATCCCTATGGAAATAAACCTGTATATTTTTATATATAAAGATCTATTTTATATTTATAAATATGTAGCAAAAATTCTACTACTACTACTAATAATAATAATAATCTGTCCAAACTGAAGAGTTTTGTATGCTACTAAGAAAACAAATTGGGTTTATACCTCCTTTTGGGGGAGGAAGGGAAAAGTGGATGCATGTAAGAACAGAACCCGGTTATTTTGAGACTGCAACTGAAACTTCGCTTCCTCCACTTCCTAACTCAATAAAGGTTTACAAATACTTGCAACTTGGAAGTTGCTGGAATCTCACAGAAGTTATGAAAGAAAAGCAAGCCTACTGTCACTAGATATACATTAGGTAAGGGCAGTCATTAGCACCAGATGAAAAATGATAAGGTCTGCAAAGTTGAAAAAATTTAGAGTCACTGCTCAAGAATGCAGTTCAAAAAGTATTCCACTTTTCAGCATTTGAGTAATTTACGCACATGACTGTTTCAACACTTGCAGTGGAAGCATCTAGCCATAGGCTACAGCTGCAGGAAACAGTATTTTTTGAAATTACTTTTCAAGAAGAGTATCTAAGATTGTATTTGTAGCCACAAATACCCTGGATGAGAGTGCCCACCCAGAGAGTAGCAAGTGAGAACGTATCTGGACAGAAACATCCCTCACTACTGCTTCAAAAGGGCGTGTTCCATAAGATGTTTAACAAAATTCAACTTGTTGTTCCACTAGCTTACTTTCAATTAGCCACTATCAAAATCGCATTTTAAATGTGTATTTCTGTACTAGGATGCTGACAACAAAAATCACTTTTGCAACTTAAGACAACTTGCTTTTGAAAGTTTTTTCTGGCTGTACTTCAATAAAATCAACCCACGTTGCAGTTTGACTACTCTTACACAGAAACGAAAGTTTTGTTTTGGAATGATGTTCTAGTCAACATTTCCTTTAAAATAAAATCACTTATTCACACAGGGGCAGGTTTAACAGCAACATTACAGACAGGTGAAATAAATCTTGTTCCTTCCAATGCGTGTTCGGTTCTCTCAGTGTCTTCCTGAAGCACTGTCCAAATTGCAATTTCATCCAATTAAGATCACCCAGTCAAAAGCAGATTTCATTGATTTCAACTACGACACGTTTATTTTTATTGCCAGAATCTTGTAATTACACTTGATTTGGAAACTCCTAATTAATTATGTCACTGCAATCCAGTCAGTTGCTAACAGCTGCTTTGGAAGAACAAGCAAAAGACAGTATTTCTAAATAGGCCACCTTGGACTTCTGTTACTTCGGACTGCTTAAGACCAGTCCGTGGCTTTTGGAGCTGAGCTAAGGAAAGGCATTCTCGTCTTCTCTACAGCTGCACGTTCTTTGCCTCCACCACTTTTCCTGGCTCTGGCCTTCAGGTGACTGAGTAGGAAACCATTCAAGGAGCTGATGCGGCAATCCAGCCGCCCAGCAAAAGGAAGCCATCAACTTCCAGCCACAGTGGCTCCCTGAAGCATCCCTCTGTCCAGCTGCACGAGCACTGGCACAAGGGACAGTGAGGAACTGCAGCTGGCTCAATTTAGACCATCAAAAACTTCTGCAGAAAGAAACCCTAAGTGCTTCTGCCTTCTAGTAACATCAGCATTGGCTGAAAAGGGGATATAAAAGTCAAGAAAAGCACCTTGAGTGACTCCCATCTATTTTAAGTGTTCATATCTGCACAGTAGTGGTCCGAATTGAACAAGCTAGATGAGACACTGCTTCAACAGCCAACCCTTGCTGCAAAACTCCCGAACACAGGCAAGCAGGCAAGTCTGGGCACAGTGTTATGAAATAGTATTTTGCAGATGTATTTTTTTTGAATCAGTGAGACCAAGGTAAATATGAATAGTTATAGTTTAAGCAGTAGTCTGAAAACACGGAGCAAGAGAATTTCAGCACCTCTTCAGAGCACCTCCAATGAGTGCTCTGAAGCACTAGCTTCCTCTCGTGATCTCTTCTTCTTTGTTCATTTTTCAACTCTTCTGTGAATGTTAAACTCAAGTACAACATAGTCTTTTAGAATTAGTGGGCAAGGGTCTCTGCCTGTTGAGTTCCATGTTAGTGTGCTGTACTGTCCTAAAAGAGGGGGAAAAAAAAATCTGACATTTTGTCTGGAAGCCATAAAACCATACCATATTGTATTCGTATCCATTCTGTAAACCGATCCAGCCTGATCTGTCTGATCCATGAACCATGCAAAAATCTTCTGAGTTATTTTAAATCCTGATTTGCAAGGTTTTCTTTCCAATTCAAGACATTTCTAAAAAAGAAGTTAAATTGGTTCAAAAGCTAGTACAGTCTTAAAAATAAGCTGCTAAAACAAATTCTCTGTGTTTATAAAAATATTCCAATGTGCACATAAATATCTTGCTTTACTGTTACATGCAAACAAACTTTTTAGTTCACAGAACACAAGAGAAACTTAATTTGCATTTACACATCAATTACGCTCAAGTATTTCAATAAACAGAATACACTTTGTCATTCTGATGTTTGAGAAATCAGTGAGGACATCAACTATGCCGACAGCAACAGACCTGAATCAGAAAACCATCCCTCCTAATGGTGACATGCTCGTTGCTTTAAAATAACTACTCACAAAGCAGAATAAAAACTGGTAGACCCAGTTACACTAATAGGATTTTGGAATGGACAAGATGAGGCGTATTACATTAAAAAAAGCTTAGTGAAAAATGAAAGATGAGGAAGTTGATATGGGCTATATCAACGGAAGGACACCTGCACATGAAGCTCACAGTCAGGACAGATGGCTGATCACAACTCCGAAATACTCTCACGAACCTGTCCTGGGCCTTCATGTCAGCATGACCTTGAAGATTCCGCTCATGCTTTTAATAGATCTTACAGTACCACTCCAGATCACAACAGAACCATCATTTTCTTTTGAAAATATTTTATGTAGTTAATCATGCAACTACAAAGGAGCCCCTCCACAAAATTCTGGGGTGTAAGTGTGGAAATTTTTGAAGTAAATTCAGAAGACAGACTACAGTTATAGATTAAGATCCTCACCATAAACTTCTATTTACTTTACTGCATAAGGAGACAGGCTCAGTTTGTCCAAGTCAGCCAGAACAGAAGGAGAATAACACAACAGCAGCCAGCAGAGTTCATTTGTAAACATGTCTTCCACTCAATGGACACGCAGTGAAACGGGTTTCTCAGCAATGTCATATAAATGTATAAACATCTAAATGTTTAACCATGGCTTGCTGCATCCATATAAGGCAAAGCAGCCAGTGTGTCTGATTAAATAGGTAGTAAAATCTGTGCAATTCCTTGAGCATTTTGAGAGAACAGCAATTCCACGAGAACACACAGCACAGATCCTTCTTTTCTGCTCTTAAGTCTCTCTTGTCTTATCAGGTCCAAGAGACTGGGTATCTCAATGTAGACATGAAAACAGCTTTACGGGAAAAGAAATGGAAGGTACTGGAAGCCCAGGATGGTATGAGTAACCCAGGACTAAAAGTCCTGAAGGAAGAGGACAGAGGATGGAGACAAAACAGGAAAAAAAACCCACAAGAAATCAGAAGAATAACAAAGAGAAGACTAGGACGTCAACGCTTAAATATAAGGATGTAAGAGAAAGGGGGAGAGAGAAGAAAAGATGTCTAACTGGGCTAGGAAATGGAAATCGGTGAATTGAAGAAAAACGCCGAGAGGAAGAGATGTCACTTCTGATGAGGAACAACTGGGGAAGAGGGAGAAGGCAGAAGAGAAGCAGCAGGAGTAGTAAAGATGGAGGAAAAGGATCTGCATTCTTTCCGTGAGGAGGGAGTCTATAACAGACCTCAAGTTTTCCAGAAAACACCTTTTCACTTTCGCTGTCATACGTCTATGAAGTCTACTAACAGTCTCTTCCTCACCCACCAAGTACTGACCACCTGTGTCAGACTAACACAAGTAACAGTTTCAAATGGGATCTCAAAGTGATTGTCCCGATGCGAGAATGTGCTTTGCTCTCAGTTTGCTTCGAAAACCTAAGGTAGTACACCCAAAACTGTTAAAAGCACATTATGTTGAACATATTTAAGCCTTCAAGCAGTTTATGGTCTCAATTCAGCCTTTTGGCATTCACATTCCAGTTCTAGGCGTAATCACAGAATGGCATTTTCAGTTTCCAAAGGACTTCTACTGTATTCGGGACTTAAGTGGGATCTGAGTGATCTGAATAGGAATTACTGTAGAGGAGGCTGTGTTCTGTAAGACCTTCCTTACTGCAGATGTTGGAAGGGGCAATTAAGCCAAACATTGTCAGAACAAAAGGGGACTCTGGTCCCAACTCCTTTAGCACTCACATCAGAAAGTGAAGCCACTGGGAGACATACTTTGTTCAAGTACTCTTACCTGAAAAATTATTTCAGAGGAGGTAGGAATTTTCAAATATAAAGGGAAAATCAACTCTAACCACAGTGGGCATTGCAAACCTCATGGAGGTACCATTAAAATAAAACCCACTTAGCATTTGTGAGCACTGGGCACTGTGCTGATTCACAGGAAAATAATCCTTTGTTTTCAGCACGAGGTTTGAAGACTACGCAATGAGTAAGACAGATGGCAACATATGTAACAAAATATTGAACAGCACCTCCAAGCAAGTCAGATTCCTCTGAATGTGATGCCAGTCCTGAGGGGGAAAGTTCATGAACAAAGAATGCACAACCCACAGACAACTAAAGCTGACTGAACACAGACTGCACAAACAAGTCTTATTTTAGTATTTTCTAGTTTTGGAGTTTCCTATTTTTGCAATGCTAATCAGAACAACTAGCTTATTTTCAAGTAAGCTATGAATGTGATTGCGCAAACTTCTATTTATTACCACCCCCCACACAACCGAGTTTTTGCAAGTGAGTGAATATATACAGCATGTGAACAGAGCAAAGATAAGGTTTATGAAAAGCCACAAAGCAGTATGACACACACCACTAGGTATTCTGCAGATACAAATAGCAATGAAATTCTGCACAAAGACTGAAGAGGAAGTGGAGACTGAACTAAAATATGTTTGATTAATAAGAAAGCAATCATGAAATTATATAGTTATAAGGTTGTGACAATAAGTACACCCATTCTGCAATGGGAAAGTGATTAAAAAAAAAACCCTATAGCAATAAAAAGCAACACTCAACTAGGTTTATGAGAACTAGAAATAGAAGTATAAAAGACAGCATCATGCTAAGAAATCTAAAGCATGACAGGATAGGTTATTATTTTTACAATGAGGGTGGTGAGACACTGAACAGGTTGCACAGAGAAACTGTGGGTGCCCCATCCCTGGGGGTGTTCAAGGCCAGGTTAGAAGGGGCTTTGAGCAACCTAACTTAGTGGAAGATGCCCCTGCCCATGGTGGAGGGGTTGGACTAGATGATCTTTGAAGGCCCCTTCCAAACCAAACCATTCTGTGATTCTGTAGGTGAACAAGTCTGAGGAGTGCAAAATACACCAGTGAAGACTAGATAATTGTAGGTACTCTTTGCATGTACTTCTACAGCCAGGTTATATATACACACAGAGGAACTAACCACCTACGCATTTTACCTGAGTAAAAGATATCTAAAAGAGAATACATTCACATGTCAAATAAAAATATGTTTACACAAATGCCTTGCTTCAGGTGACGTACTTAGACCCCATGTTACCATTACACTTTCCTAATAATTATGATAGCTGTGTTAATATCAATTGCACATGGGGAAAAATTTCACTCACTGGTCAGGTGCACCAAGAGCTTCTGAAATATTTTTCTGATTGAAGAGCTTGAGTAACAACCGGGATAACACTTGGCTCACAGACAAAAAAAATAACAAACAGGACGTGCTACATGTGGGCAGCATCCTCTACAACTGAGACAGTAGTATGACAAAACCATAGAAATTTCTTTCAGTATTACTGTGGAAAGCAACAAAATTATCTTCCTGTATTAAACTTCAGAAGATGGTGGTTCACAAATTAACTGTGAAGCTACTAGCTCCTAGGTCATCAACTTACGACATTTGAATGGGAAACTGTTAGGCATTTGTAAGACCCAGCAAAATACTAGCTGAATTTATTTTAAAATAGGAACATAATAGAGGGGTTTGGATAAGTTTGCTGCATCTCTCAGGTCCTTACCCCAAAATCAGGCTATATATCTACAGTAGCAGTATGATGGCCTCTACTACAAACAGCCATTTAATCAACTTTATTTCTGGCAGAACTAGATATGTAAAGAAATACATTCTGTACAAAGATCTCGTACCTTTTATACCTGCTTGAAACCATCCTGGAGGAGTCCTGAAAGAAACAGAAAGGAAAAACTAATTAACATTTTTCTTGTATTTGTACTTTCAAAATACTTTATCACTCCGTAGAAAATGAAGCCTGCACTTAAGAGGAAGAGGCCCATGTCTCAAACAGCTGCCGTATAACTCAGTTTTGCACTATCTTGTCAGGAATAGACAGAATACCAGGATTATTGTCACCGTGTTACCGCTTCTGAGCACCAGCTCAGAACCCTTACATGACAGCTTCTGGTTACATCTTAAAACTGGATGCACTTCCTCCAGCATCCAGAACATGCAGCTTACCAAAACAGTATACACTCTGCCACCAATACGCCTTCACTACCATTACTAACGCTTGCGCACTTTGACAGCTGTTCATCTACTTGTCCAAGAGCAGCAGCGCAGAACTGTTTCGATTCACCGGCACCACTGCTGTCCTTCTGCACAGAACAAAAAACGAAGCCAGCAAGTTGTCAGGAATGAGACCCAAATCAATTTATTACGTATCAGCTGGGTCATGATCACTACAGGTGTGCTCTTTGCCACGCTGACCCAGGTGTCGCTCACCACAGTTTCTCTCAGCCTGACTGAAGTGGCCTTCCCCTGGCATTTGCTGTTGAGCAGGTAGGCTACAAGCCTGAAGGTGGGCGTTGCATCCACTCAAATGTCAGACAGTGATTTGTCAAGCTACGGTAAGTCAATTTTTAGATCACTGCTTTCTAAGCACCCGTAGCGGCTTAATGCAGTCTGACCACAAACTTAAAGAATACTCTGTGTCTCCTTTGATTGTTATTTGGAAATTATCTTAACTGAAGTAGCGAGAAACAGAATACATTTTAAATAAGAGCAGAGATTTTAAATATGAGGTCAACAGTGCAAAAGCTGTGCATCTGGCCCTTCAAAGATACATACATGGATTACTTGCAGATTACAAGTCTTATCATATTTTTTTCTAGCTTATGGTAAAGAATTTCATTACTTTTTAGATTCCCACAATGCAGCAAGATGTTTTCACTAAGATTACTTTTTTTTAATTTTTGTTTTGTTTTTAAATTTGAAAAAAATCCATTACACTTTTATTCTGGTTCTGTAAAGATGGAAATGGAAACAAAAAGAACAGTGGAGAAAAGGGCTCATTTATTGTTACACAATCCCTGAAAAAACATTGATGCATTATGTACCAATGAGAAAACCTGAACGAATATATTTCCATCAATAATGCTATGCTAGTAGCTTCCCAACACCAGCATGATCACATAGAAAAATTAAGACATGTTTCAACTGGTAAATGGTGGCTCAGATTAGACCGAGTAAGTCCACAAATATTTGTTAGAATGTTGTAAGAAGAACACGAACCAATTACTCTATTAGTCATAGACAAAACTCCCCTCAGCATCAGCAAGCATTAAGTAAAAAGTCAGGAAGAAGGAGTTAATGAAATAATGGCAGAGCATGAAATTCTATTTATGACACTAACTGCAGACAAAGGAATAAATGAGTTCTCAAAACAAGATGCAAGAGAAATTCCATCCACTCCAAAACTCTTACAAAACATTACACTACCTGCACTGATCAATGCATTCATGTCTTTCTAACTAAATAACAAGCTAAAAAAATAGGATAAAAATAATATCATGTTATTAGAGAAAGCGAAGTTGACAAAAAATATTTGTATTACAGAAACAAAACTGGATCTTAAATTGTATTTTATTTCAGGAAGCATTTTCAACTTGTGCAATATGTGCTGAGCTTTCCCTAACGTAAGCATAAGAACAATATTCAACAAAGTTAACGTACAGGAATTATTTAAAGAAACCCACAAAGTGGTGTAAAATTGCTGGTTTAACACTGAAAACTATTTTATCATTGATGACAGCATCTGAAAAGTAGCAATTCACAGCTATGAAACGACAATGTAATTTCACCTCTAAAAGGGCAAGGAAACAGAATTTTAAATGGTACAAATGCTATTTTTAAAGTTTACTAAGGGTACGTTTTCTTTGAAAGGTCATGGCAGTAGGGGGGAGGTTTCTGAGGACTAGAAGTAAATGCCACTCCTATCTTCAACAAGGAAGATCCCAGGGACTACAGGCCAGTCCCTGAGAAGGTGATGGAAGAAATCCTGAAGGACAAGAAGGTGAAATCGGCATGGATATATGAAGGGGAAATCATGACGGACTGACCTGACAGCCTTCTAAAACAAGATGACTGGCTCAGTGGATGAAGGGAGAGCAGATTACATCTATCTCAATTTCAGCAAGGCTTTCAGCACCTTCCCACGTAACATATGGGAATGGGGGACATTTTCAATGTCCCATTAACAATGGGTCCATTTTCAGCAAACTGCTGAAATATGGACCAGGTAAGCAGACTGTGAGGTGCAATGAAAAGTGAGCGGACTACCTGGCCCAAACGCCTATGAACAGCAGCACGAAGTCCAGCTGGATGCCAGTCACTTAGTAGGGGCCAGTACTGTTTAACGCCTTCATTAATGACCCGAATGATGGGACAAAGTACATCCTCAGCAAGTTCACGGACACACAAAACTTGGATGAGTGGTTAATAATATATCAGATTGGTGTGCTGCCAAGCAGAGGGACCACTGACAGGCTAGAAGATGGGCTAACAGAGACCTTATGAAGTTCAAAAAAAAAAGGGAAATGCAGTCTTGCACCTGGGGAGAAATAATCCCAAGCACCCAGTACATGCTGTGGACAGGTTGGAAAGCTAATGTGGAGAAAAGGACCTGAGTGTCCTGGTGGATACCAAGTTGAACACGAGCCATCAATGTGCCCTTGCAGCAAAGAAGGCCAATGGCATCCTCAGATACGTTGCCAGCAGCTCAAGGGAGGTGGAGTGCCAGATCCAGTTCTGGGCTTCTCTGTATGAGAAAGACATTACTGGAGAGACACCAGCAAAAGGCCTCACAGATGATTAAAGGTTTGGAGCACATGAGGAGAAGCTGAGAGTGCTGGGAATGTTCAGCCTGGAGAAAAGAATGCTCACAAGGTATCTTGCCAATAAACATCCGATGGGGTAGAGAAGATGGAATCATACTCCACTGTGCCTAGAGAAAGGATGAGAGGCAGTGGACAGAAACCAAAATACAGGAAATTCAACTTAAACGTAAGAAAATACTTTCTTACTGTGAGATTAAACACTGGAGCAGGTTGCCTAGAGAGGTTATGGAGTTTCTATTCATGGAGATAATAAAAAACCAACTGGCCACAGCCCTGAACAATTTGCTACAGTTGACTTGCTTTGTCCACAAGGGTTTGACTAGAGACTTCCTGAGATCCCTTCCAGCCTTAACGATTCCGTGCTTCTGCTCCGCTCTCTGATTTTTCCATCTGCATTCTTCTCTCAGCTTAGTGAGTTTAAGTCTCACTAACACCTGGCAGCTTCAGAGGATTTCAATCTGCCCTCTAATATTGTTACGTAGGGACTTGCCTATCTGAACTTTGAAATACAGAGGACTAACAGCCTGATTTTTAGCTTTAGGACAGTCAGTAATGACTGACAAGGTGATTTCACTCTGATGAAGCTACTTGAATCTCTTCACATACATCTAATACACTAACATACATGTTCACTGTATATGAAAACTGAAGTGCCATATCAGTAACATCAGTCACAGCTCTTGGTGGTGATGGTCTCAGAAACATCACAGAATCATAGAATGGTATAGGTTGGAAGTGACCTTAAAGATCATCTAGTTCCAACCCCCCCGCCATGGGCAGAGACACCTTCTACCAGACCAGGTTGCTCAAAACTTCACCCAACCTGGCCTTAAACACTTCACTTCCAGGGATGGGGCCTCCACTACCTCCCTGGGCAACATCCTGGTTGTCCCATTAGCCATAGAGACACGCAGTTCAACTCTCTTTTTAAGCTTGGATGGTGAAAGAGAGAAATGTAGGTGACTGGGTCAAAATTTTCCCTAACTGGCTGTAGATACAACTCTTGCCAATAAAGTAGGAACTCTGGGCTTTAAGCTTCCTCACATCTTATTTTTAAACCAGCTTCTTTTTCAAGAAAATGCTGAAGCCTTGAGGTTATGACCATGCTTCCTGGTGAACATAAGCCTCTGAAAGGCAGAATTCACAAGAAAGGAAGAATTTGCACATGACATTGCAGTCTAGTGAAGCACACATACCCTTGGTACAAAGAAATCTCTGGATCTTGGATGCTTGTTTTCTACTCTAGACACCAAAGGGATGCAATGTATGCTTTTTATACCCCCAAATTTGCTACGACCTTTTCATATAGTAAACGCAAATATAAGCTGTAAAGCAACTTACATACACAGACTTGTACATTTACCTCAACAGGAGACTTCTAAAAGTTTGGCAGTACTATTCAGAAAAGCCAGTTTTTCAGAAAAGGAAAGCTGGGAAAGCAAACAAATACTCAGGGATAAAGTACATGGCAAATACTCTCATTTGGTACAAATGACAGCTGTTAAAACTAAAAAAACAATTAGCTAGTCCTTTGTAACAGATGTTTCTACACCAAGTATTAGTGGTTTTTATTTTTGTAGTTAGTTTTAACTATGAACAAAAAGTTAAAAATACACATGTCAGCATAAAAATCATTTCCTCTGATAACTAAATGAATACTGCAGATTTGGTAAATTGTGACTTTTATTATTTCGGAATCTGTAATGTAAATGCAAACCAATCATTCTTTAAGGTGATGATGCAAGCACCGGGGAAATATATTATTAATCTCTGCTCTTATGTTATGAGATTTATTTTGTGTGTGTTATTTATCCAGAAGTTGCTAGTAACAGGAATATATGTATTTACACTATAAACACCATTATGTATCTATTAATCAAAAATGAATCTAAGCTTTCAAACTATTCAAAAGCTCTTAAATGAGGCAAACATCTCCTAATTAAAAGATCTGTTAATTTAAGATCTTATCTCCTCTACCATGTGTGGAGATGAGAAGGTTTGCAGAAAATGAAGACGGAGAAGGAGAAAGGAGGGAGCCCCCTGTTCTGCA